CACCCCAACCCCGAGGTTAGTCCCATTCTACAACAGTGGCATCATGTAATATTTGTCCTTTTGTGACTGGGATATTTCATTCAGTATAATGTTCTCCAGAGTCAACCATTTTGAATAATATTGCATGACTCTTGACTCCTAGCCACCCAATGAACAACTGATCTGAATTTAGCCCAATCCTGCTATCTTCACGATCTGATGTTATGCTCCAGGCCATTGTTAAAATCACTGTCAAGGCATCTTGTTTAGGGTCTTCCTCTTTTTGTCTCTCTATTCTTTCCGTCATGATGTCTAAGGCCTGGTCTCTCCTGACAACACACCATCCTTGCCTGTAAGCACATTCCCAGCACCCCAAATCATGTGGTTCCAAGCGTTTATCTGTAGCATTTGCTTTTTAGGTCACCTCAGGAGGGCTAAGTACTCAAATCCAAAAGGAAAAAGAAATCTGGTGAAGCCTGTCTTGCTGCGTGTGCGTACTAAAGTGTGTGATCTCTAAATACGAGAATCCTTTGCCGTTTTCCCTCCTCACAGCCAAGCTGGGGCTTAACATTCTCTTTCCTTTGCTCAGCTGAAAGGGAAAAGGGGATAAAAAGGAGAAAAGAGGGTGTAAGTGGAAGGTATTTGGCTGACATCTATTGTTCTTTTCAGCAGTGGCTGACCTACTGGGATTCTGCAGGACTCGTAAAGACACAACGCGGAAGAAAATAACACTATCCGGCCATTTCCTGAAACTAGTCTCTCGGGGAACTCGCGAGAGCGCTTACGCGCAAAGGGGCGGGGTCTACTATGAGGCCCTCATCCGGAGGCCACACCCTCCCACTGACGAAGATTAGCAAAACGCAAAGCTAAATTCAACAGTCGGCCAGGAAAGCGCGCACTCGATCCCCAAAGCAGGCGGAAGGAGGGGAAATCATTCCTCAGGTACGTCCCGAATGCCAAGCAATGATTGGCTGAAATCCCTAGCCATCCACTAGGCTTTTAACTATGTACTTCTGATTGGCTCATCCTCGCAGTTGGAGGGCGAAGTTTTGATAAATTTTCATCACGATTGGTGGATTTGAGCACAAGGCGGCTCCTTTTTGAGAAAGGGGTCCTCCCCTCCTCTCTGTCCCGTCTCCCGACCCGTACACTTTCCCCAACTCGCGCTCACGAATGGTTGAAAAAAAAAAAAAAAGGGTGTGAGGCGGCTCGAGCCCGCCCGCCAGGCCTGTGGCACCTCCGCGCGCCCTCGGCGAGGACCCGCGCGAGCTGCCCTGTACTGTGCCTGCGCTGTTTGAAACTGCAGAACCCGTTAGGATCTTGGGAAAACTACCGTTCCAGCTGATTCTGGAGCTCGTGCGTGCTAGGAGGGCGAGTGGTAGTGCCGGGGTGGTTCTTCCTTTTAGTATCTCTGCAGCGTGGAGACCCAAACCGGCATTTTCGAAAGACGCCGCCTTAAATAGCAGCGCTGGCGCGGGCGTAGGCTAAAACACGGGAACGCGGGGGTCCTGAAAGTGAGGAAAACGCGCCAAGTTCCCCTCGGTGGCGGAGTAGGGAAGACCTTAGCGGTTCCAGCTCGTCTTGAGCAGGAACGGTCCTTGCGCTCTTTTCCATCCCGGGGCGGGCACTGGCAGCTGCCGCTCCGGGAATGTAGTTGGTGGCGGTGCAAAGCTGGACCAGGTGGCGGCCCGGGTTCCCGCTCTTTCGAGCGGATGGTCACTCCCCCGCGGGGAGGGCAATCCGTGCTTATCCTTGAGTCGGGGACCCGGGCTCGGAGCAGGACCTCACCTGTCGCACCGACCCCCGTGGCTGTTGGACTTGGCGTTGTCACCGCCGCGGACTTCGCTTTGGGCCATGACCAGGTACGAAGGGCTTGTGCAGGCAAGGGCCGCCGGCGTCTGGGCGCGGAGGTAACTTCGGCCGGCGCCGGAATGGGGCTGCTGCGGGACGTCGTCGCCACTTGGGAGGCTTGAGGGACCGCTTCGCCCCCTTGGCCTTGTAGTGGTGCCGGCCTGAGCCGTCGGCGCCCCGGGACGGGCACCCTGCCTGCGGCTCCCGGGGGACTCGCTCGGGCAGGTGCGGGTGTAACGAGGCCGAGCTCGCGGGGAAGGGGTTGCCCCGCACTCGGCGCGGGGGGGACCCCAGCTGCCACCTTGTCAGACGCGGGTCCGAGGGGCACAGACATGGGCTCTCACGGCCTCACGCCACCTTTTCACTTTCTTCGCTCCCCTCCGGAGGGGAGAGAAGAAGGGAGAAGACATTTTTCACTCAAGTCTTAGGTCTCCAACTTCAATTTTACCGCGCATTTCCCTAACGTACTTAAAAACCCCCTTAAATCACGTGTTTTACATTTTTGCCGAGGATGTTATCCCCAAGTTTTACTTTAAAAAACCAACAACCCAAGAGTTGAGTCGTGTCGTTTTCTAAACGAAAGAGTTTAACTAAAGGTACTTGGTGATAACACGGTCTTTTGTTCAAGAGCATTTAACGTTCGATTCATTGAGTCTCTGCAAAAGTGTAAGAAAAGTCCTAAGAAACCAGGAGCAAGAAGTAGCATAATAGGCCCTGGTAACATGTTCTCGATAATATCAGTTATTAGATAATTGCGTTGAAGGATTGGTTTATTAGGACGACAATCCACTATTTGGTCTGCTAGTTTATTTTTTCCTTTTGCTTACTGAGTCATCATACTCGTGTCATTTACAGAATGCAGTTGCTATGAATTAGAATTTGCATAAAAGACAAAAACCTTTGAAAAGAGTATTGTTAATACTTAGGGATTTTCCTCATAGTGGGGTAGGCTGTGGTTTGTCATTTATAAGAATGTCACCAGTAGCATCAAGTGACCAAGAAAATAAGTTCGAAACAGGATGGGGAAACATTTTACACTTCTTGAATTTTCAAAGTCTAGTTTCACTGCGGAGGTTCAGTGTTGTGAGTTCCCTGACTTAGAGTTACAAGTGTATGCAATATTTTTATTAAGGATGTAATTTGAGAAACTGAGTTTTTTTAAAGTGCATTTTAGAAGCCTGTTCAACTTGACAAAGATTTAGCTTAAAGACAGGGTAGAAATGGTGGCAAAAGGCAAAATCAAATCTTTTCTCCTACTCTAAGCACTTTTCAAAATCTGTAGTTTTAAAAAAGGATCATGAAAGTGAGTAGAATATTATGTTTCTACTGCATAAGATTTAAAAAATCTTTGGCTTTCTTTTGGAAAGAATGAATTCTTCAAAAGAGAGAGGTCAGTGAAAAACAGGAGGACCTTAACCAGATTGATTGACAGTGACTACAGGTTGGGCTCAAGTGTTAAAAATGGTGAGGATGACAAAGAATATGACAGCGCTTAGAGGGTCCTATGAGTTGTATTCGATTCCAGGGTACCTAACAATAACAATGGATGCAAGAATTTTTATACCTATAGTCGAAAGTACAACAGTTTTTTATACCACCACCTCAACTTTGCCTATGTGTTAAATACCTTTCACTTCAGGCTTTTGTTATTGTAACTGAATACATCTTTGCCTTTCTTGTAGGAAAATTATATATGCTTTAATAAACCATAGATTTTATTTTGTATATTTATATTAGTATCTAGAAAGCACCTTTCAAAGGAGGGCTCATTCATGTCCAGCGCTATTGTGATTTTCTTGTAATTCCTCTCCATATTCTACTTGTTACTTTAAAACTAGAAATGGTAGTTGCTCAATTATTTTTTAAATAATAAATGATAGTGGGGGTAAGACTGAGAAAAACTGGATGAAATATGTTTACGGCATTGAAGTCTATGGGGGAGAGAATAGTCTAAAAGTATTATATTTTAGGGCA